TTAATTCGTGCTACATTGTTGTGTAGAAATAAAATCAGTTATATTAAAATTTTACAATCAAATGTGTAATTGATTGTAAATTCAAAGAAGATAATACTTGCAATATATTGAACAAATATATGAAACTATATTTCCTTTTATAGATGTATACATTCCTCAGTATTACACTTTCAGACTTTTAGTAATTTCAAGCACATAAAGGATTAATCATTATCACGAATATAAACATTTTATCATTACGTGTTATTAATATATTGACACAAATGAATACAGCGTGCGCTAGGCATTCTAAGTTGAAGGAAGCACCATCTTTTTCTAGAGTCCATCTATCTCGTTTATTCCGTCATTTATTCGATCCACTTCCGTAGATACGTCGGTTTGCAAGCCGGTTTTCCGGCGCGTTTTCTCGGCTACGCGAAAGTAGCCCGGCTCGAGCGAGCGTGACGAGGCAAACACACACCTCAAGTTTGTGCTCGATGTGGACGATTGTGACGCAACGTACACGCTGGCCGATTACTCGGCTACTTTCTCCTGTTCCGGACAGTCGTAATATTGTTCGGGATTAGCCGGCGTGGCTGACGATGGTTGAACGCCATTAACCAGGGCTGCGGTGAGCGTTCGCCAGCAACGGCCATGACGACTCGAGGTGAACGAAGGGCGTCTCGTTCGGTTCACGGCTCCTCTCCATCGCTAGGCGAATTGAATTCGAGCTTCCTCAACCGCGTCTCCTGTTTCGCGCGGTCCTAACTACCTGCTTCGTTCCTCTTCGGCCCGTCCGATGATTAATTGCCCGCGTTTCGCAATCGTTCGGAGCAGAAGGTGATTAAGTGCTCACCTCGCCAATGTAACACGCGAGCAGAATGTTTTCTCTTTTCTGTTTTCTTCCCCCCTTTTTTGTTTTTTTTTTTTTTTTTTTTTTTTTTTTTATCGCTGAGGCTGCATTCTTTAGCTCTCACGCCAGGGTGGACACGCAGTAATTTGAATTAATTTGAAATTTCTGCTGTTGCACGATGCAAGGCAACTTCATTTAAGATTGGGCGAGGTTTGAAACAAAGTACCATTATCATAAATTAAAGGATTATAATTTTAAGAGGAGATGCTTGGTTTTGAGGAAGCATCATCAGAACATGAGTTAGTCTAGCATAGAGATTTTTCTTTGTAGAGATGATTTGTAATCCTAGAGGAATTACAATTTGGAGGAATTAATTGCGAGAAGCATTGGAAGTTTTCCTAACAGCGGCACAGATTTTTCCCTTTCTTTGACAATGACACGATTCCTCAAGGGTCCTCGAGCTTCTCCGAGGATGCACCGACAGAGAAAGAGAATTTTCGCGGTGGGAACAGGTCGAAAACCTAATTTCTCCACGCGGAAACTTGTTCTGGAACTTCTAACGAATCGCTCTGACGTCAAGAGGCAGAAAGGTGCTCCAGTGGTACAGACGATAAGTACCACTTTAGTGGAATTTGTGGGAAAATCATCGCAAACTTCCGTTCTTACTCCTTACTATGTTAGAACGAATTATTACTTATTATTATTAAATTGTTACTAAAATAAATTCATTCTTCAAATGTCATGCCAGTCAGCGGGTGATTCTACATGAAAAAATAACATATTTCCATTCAAAAGGTTCATTCTCTAGAAAATGGAGTTTCAAAATTTATCAAATATGTGTAACAATAAGCAGGTAAATTCAATAATAATTTTTATAGCTTTAAATGGTTGCAGTAAATATAAACATCGTTTATAATTGTGAATTATTTTATTTAATTGTTTGCTTGTAAAAGTAATTTCGAATTTGATAGGGATGAATAATCATAGTAGAAGACATCCATGACCATATTTTTCAAGAAAATGGACTTTGAACATAACTAGGAATTAGCTTGGTACTTCGTGTATCTGATAAATTTTCAAATTCAATTTTCTAGAAAACGAAAAACATCTTATAAAAAAAATTTTATTCTACGT